AGCAGTATTCCAGCCTAGAGAGAACAAGCGACTTGAAGAGAATCATGGGCTTGGCATCCTTAGTTTTGAAGGTTCTCATTATTCATCCTATCATTTTCCTAGCAGATGCAGTAGATACATTGTTGTGGTCTTTGAAGACAAGATCCTCTGACATTATCACTCCCAGCAGGTCCTGGGGTTATGAAGTTATGGGATGTGGGGATACGTACCTTTCTTGGATCGCACAGTGACTTAAATACATTTAGTTTAAGCCCGATTGAAATACGTAATATTTTTTTTTACAATCCTATGCACTAACATATTCCCTGGGATATCAGACTAACTGGAGAAAGTCCCATTAAGATCAGTCTAATGGTTTTCATAATATAAGAGGAAAACTCCGTGAGAACTAGTCTATAGCTTTCAGGTGTCTATTAAAGAAACTTAACAGAAATCACCGTGATGAAAGCAGAAATGCCTATGTTATGGGCAAAACAGTTTAAATGTGATGCACAGCTAATTGTGTTCCACAATTAGCTGTGCATCCCTAGCTATATAGAGGGGGCAGGGGCACCTGTGAACAGGTGGTTAAGAGAGAGGTGTGTGTGTGTGTCTGATTATTGATAGATTCATCTCAGTGACAAAACCTGTTGATGGAGAAGGTCAAACAACCATGTCCCACCAAACCCTGCAAAATTTACTTTCTTGTCTGTAGACCCCCACCAGGCCCACCACTACTCAAGAACACAACTCGCGAAATCGTAATGACACGATTGCAAACAAACCATGCCACGCTAGCTGGAGATTCGTCTGTAAAAACTTGCATTTGTGGTCACAGTGTGCCTATGCTAACCTTCCTATGGTGTAGAAATATACCTAGTTGGGCGAATCTTATTGTGGCTAGCTGGTTCAGTGGCTAACGCGACGGTCTGGAGTTTTGAGACTCTCTGACCGCGGGTTCAAATCCCGCCCGTGGTATGGTTTCTCAAGAACATATCTATGTACAATACTACTTGTGGCTCACGAAGGCATTGTAAGGCAAAAGTCTACTACAGTAGCCTTCCCCTCAGCATCTACCTACTCATTTCCTTAGACAGTAACATGGTCTGGATACCAACAATGTTCCATAGCTTTGTGGTAAGCATGGAGATGGGCTAACCACTCCTGGATCTCTTGAACCACAGGGTAGACAGCTTATTGGAAGCAGCAAGCAGAAAATTGGATTAGGTAAAACAGTAAGCAAGATTCAACTGAGTCAGCAAAGGAACAAAAGGAGAGACTGCATGCAGCTTGACATGTAACGTAAGGAAACTGTTGTTAACAGCACAACGGCTTCCACAGCGATAGAGCAAAGTACACCAACACTTGCTCTCTTGATCATGTCAGCAAAGAGCAACTTATTTTATATTATTACAGTGAAGAATTGGTCATAGTACCATAGCCTGAACAATTCACTGTTTGGTTGCAGCTCTAATTTTTGAAGCTTTTCAGGATTTTCAGCTACAGCACAGGATAAACATAGCAATATTCTAAACTACAGTTACTAGGCATCTTTAGTGTGTATGCAGTAGCTAAAAACTTTGGGCTCTAAGGAAATTTGGGTCTCAAGCTCCTGGACTTCTTGGTCAGACTGAGTTATAGCTCCTAGCCATCCTAGGTATGTTGAGGGGAGCTAAGCTGCAACTCCACTGACTACTGAAGGGTTTGAGTATCATTTGGCCTCTTGCCTGGGGCCAAGGGAATAAAAGATACACAATTCACAAAGCCAAATTTGTATTTGTACTATATGACTAACACACATGCAGGGCTGGCTTAAGGGGTGAGTCAACGTGGCACTGGCTCAGGGTGCACAAGTTAAAGGGCGCCAAAAATCAAAGGAGTGAGATAAAAAAAAAAACATTGCTATTAATCATAAGGAAACAAGTGAATTCTACAAAGAAAATTGGGAGGAAAGAGGTGTTGGAGAAAAGGTGAGGAAGTACAGAGATGCAAGAGGAAAGGTGTAGGAGAAAGGTATGGCTGCAGTGAATGAAATAAACAATAAAATCATATAAAATGGTTTTTATCTTAAAAACCTTTACATAAATAAAGGGACAGGTGCAGGTGTCAAAAGAAAAATTGGCTTAAGTTGCTACAAACTCTGTGCCGACCTTGCATGTGGGACACAAACATTAAAACATATAATTAAAAAAAAAACTAATTTTTATTTTTAATTCGTCAAACCCAAATACAAATACATAAGCAATGTTTATTATTGTATGAGAGTTGATAATTAAAACAGGTAAAGAAACTAATAAACTGAAATTATGCAAAAAAGGCAAATAAAAAATAAATAGACATAAATATTATATAAGCAAAACACATTACAAACTTAGAAATATAACAAAGAAGTTGTGATGGATTTAATAAATAGTGCATAAACAACAGACAGTGAACCATCATAATATTTTTTGTTAGTTTTTTTTTGTGTAGACTGGGTGACAGGTAGTGATTCATTAACAATTAAGACCCTGAAACATAGTCTAATAAAGCATAAAGCTTCGGGCCAGAATCTCATTTTTTTTATATATGAAGATATTACATGTTGCTACGTTTGTTTTTATCTTAGGACATTCGTATCTTATTCTTAGCTTTGTAGTGCAGCATTTCTGAGGAACTGTGTCTCACAGCTCGACTACTAGTGCATTTAGCTCACACACTGAGGTTCGTGGTTCGATCCCCGGTATGGATGGAAAACATTAGGACGTGTTTCCTTTAGACACCTGCTGTCCATGTTCACCTATCAGTAAAATAGGTACCTGGGTGTTAGTCGATTGGTGTGGGTCGCATCCTGAGACAAAACTGACCTAATTTGCCCGAAATGCGCTATATAAACGACTTTCTATATAGTATATGTCACTGATGTCAGCTAGGCTTGTATACCTTGTACATGTACTTGTAGAAATAAATATTACTATTATTATTGTGACTTCCGAAATGCCTAGGCATGCTAGTAGCCTTCTTTATAATTAATATTTTATAATATGTAAACTACACATTGTAAGCTTTGCAAGGAAATAAATATTTTAATTTTCTGTAATCCCGTTTTTTTACGCTGCCGCTCACAGGACGAGCTGCGTCGCATAATAAACTACCTGCTCAGGTAACTCAATGAAAATAAGTCACTTGCCTGACCTTTTTTGAGTTATCCTAGATAATGTACACTATGTATGATAATTGTACTTATGTGTACCTGTGCCTAAATAAACTTAAACCTCGCGCCCAATCAGTGGCGCTGCATTTGTTATAGATGGGGTTTATAGGGCCACTGAGTCTACGCCGTATAGAGTCCTGCCTTCAGGTGCCCGGAAAAAGAAACCTCGACCAAAGCGGAAGGAGTTAGACTAACTGTGCGTATTAACCCTTAAATTGTCCAAACGTAGATCTACGTTTTTTCAACAGTTGAATGTAAAAAAACCGTATCTTCTTTTCTTTCTTTTTTACATTTTAAAACGTGTAAAAAACTTTCATCTACTTTTTTTGTTATATTTGAAAATATGTAAAAAAACGTAGATCTACTTTTGGAGCACTACACATGTGAACGTAAATTTGTTTGGACAGTTTAAGGGTTAAATGTCTCCTATACATCCTCAAACCATGGAGCTGCAGTCCCATGTTGTAATCTTATCTTGGTGGGGAGTTATAGGGCTACTGGCATCTTACGCAGTATTGATCCCTACCGCCCAGTGTTGTCTCATTTATAGGGCTATGAAGGCATGTGCTGTATGAGCCCGGCTACCGGAAATCTGGCGAAGATTTTGCCCAAATCTCTGCGGATAATGGGACGGAAACACGTTACTTCTTCAGAAACTAAAGGAACCAAAATATTCCCAATTAGGTCAGCTGGACCCCCTTGCCTAAACCCAGCACAGCCAGACATCCAATCAACAACAACAGAATCCCAATGTACATAAGTCACTGACTTATATGGGTTATCCTAGGTAATCTACACATATACTGCTATAGTATGATAATTCATGTAACTGTATTTATGTGTACCTGTACCTGAATAAACTTACATGTTGTAAAAGTAAGAAATATCGAAAAACTGAGGAAAAGGACACCTATGAACAATTCAGGACATTTATTAAAGGAAGTGTTTCGCCACGAGTGGCGAAACACTTCCTTTAGTAATTCTACCAACATTACTATAGTCCTGAAATGTACACAAGTGTCCTTTTCCACACAAAAAAAAAACAGGCTTTCTCATGACCTAGAATGAACTGATGTATGGCGCCCTGACCAAGATATTCGTTAGGACTTTTAACCTGGAGGGTTAGCCATCCAGGGTAACCCAGTATCCAATAACATCAGAGTGTCTTCGAGGACTGTCTTATTTCCACTGAGGCACTTTACTCTTGTCCCCCAGGATGCCACCAACAACAGACCGGGTAAAGTGAGACGTCTCATATCATAAATGGTATACAATACTGACAAAGTGATAAGTAATATACATTTGCAACACTAGGAATCTTTACTGACGAAACGTTTCGCCTTCACTGCATGCAAAACGTTTCGCCAATAACGTTAGCAATTTGAAATGTTAGCAAAAGAGATGTCTTCAGGAACTCTTTCGCTGGACTCAAATAAAATTAATGAATTCAGAATTGTTCAAAAAATGTCATAGTATTTTATTCAGTGGCATATTTCCAACCATTCTGGACTTTGCCTATTGTAAATAGCGCATAAACACTTAAACTTCTTTAAGTTCAAGCATACCTTACTATAATATTTTTTACTTAATTCATGTCTGCATAAATAACTCATTACAGTTGTAACCAGATATAAACATATAAATACTACATATTCACTAACTCATTTAGCTATCAAAACTTTGCGGCCCAGTGCATCAAAGTTTCTTTTAGACTCCATGAAAAGGCCTCAATAAGTAACTTCACAACAGGGCTTGGGACGGATGACTGGCCAACAGAATTCTCCGATGCCAATGGTATCGATGATTGGACAGACATATTTCTTAATACATTACTTAGACTATATAACAAACACTGTCCTATAAAAACGAAAGATTACAAATAAACGGCTAGGTTGCCCATGGCTAACTAACAGAATACTAAGATCCATTGATAAGAAACATCAATATGAAAAGCAATATAGACAGGGCTTAATACACAAAGATACTATTAAACACTATGCATCAGCTCTCGCCAAACTAATAAGACCAAGGAACTGTACTATTCCAGCAGATTCACAGAAACAAGAGGAAGTTTAAAAAGGACCTGGAAAAAACTCAGATTCTGGGCACCCACAAACTGAAAAAAACTAGGGATATTGTCCTAAGTAAACCGAATGAAACATAACTACAGCCTATTGATACATTGAACAAGATAAATGACTTCTCAACCATAGATCAAATCTCGCCAGTAAAATAGTGATTACTAAGATGGGAATTTCCCAACCTCCTCCTATCTTGCACCTACTGAAGTCACCACGATTAACAAGTCACTTATAAATAAATCAGGGAATTTGTCTCAAGCCCCACCATTATTGTACAAGCGAGCGGCCCGTGTCCTTTCGCTTGCTATTTCATTACTATTTAACAAATCACTAGAAACTAGTATTTTCCCTACACTACTCAAGATAGCAAGGGTTACACCAATACATAAAGGTGGTGACCCTACAGATGTAAATAACTACAGGCCGATATCAAATTTACCGTTGTTGTCCAAAATCTTCGAGAAACTCGTACAAAAGAGATTACATTCATTTATAACAGCAGAGAGCATACTCAAACCCTGCCAGTTTGGCTTCAGAAAAAAATAAAAGCACAAACGATGCAATTGTAAATATGCTAGACCTACTTTACACAGCACTGGAGAATAAGGAATATCCATTAGGACTCTTAATTGACCTCAGGAAAGCTTTTGATACAGTAGACCAGAGCATCCTACTCCACAAACTTGACCATTACGGTAAAAGAGGCCATACACTTATATATTTCAAATCCTACCTTACTAACAGGTATCAATACGTCACCATTAAGGACAAAACCTCATCAACACGACCACTTGATACTGGAGTGCCACAGGGAAGTGTCCTCGGTCCCCTGATCTTCCCAACCTATTCAATTCAATTCAAAGTTTATTCTCTATAAGGATTGCAATGCTGAGTTTACAGAATTTGGTTATTGTGTGGTTTACATATAGTAAAATAATAATTACAGAGTGTACCACTAGAGCACCTAGCATGGCTAGGCATTTCGGGCAGACTTAGATTAATTCTTAAATTTAAAATATTACAAATTATGAGGCAAGTTGGTATTATGGCTAAGTGACTAAATACTAGTTAGTGAGTTTAGCAATGTGAATGCTTTTGTTTTGGCACAATACATAGTTTCAGTATTGGAGTATCACAGGCCAACTTATGACTAGTTAGGATTCATTATTTTAAGATTGAGATTGATATTTCTGTTTATGGTCAAATGGGTGGGTGAGTGTAAGTGTGAACCACCAGGTGGTATTCGTGTAATTAGTTGGCAGGGAGATAAGATGTTTTCTAATGGTAGTTTTGAAGGTGATGAATGTGTCTGCAGTTCTAGAGTTTTCAGGTAGGGTGTTCCAGATTTTAGGGCCTTTGACATACATTGAATTTTTGTAAAGGTTTAGTCGGACACGGGGAATGTCATAGAGATGTTTGTGTCTGGTGTTATGCCTGTGGGTTCTGTCACAACTATCAAGAAAGCGTTTTAGGTCAACGGTAATATTGGAATTTAAGGTCCTGTAGATGTAGATTGCACAGTAGTAAGTGTGGATGTACTGAACAGGGAGTAAGTTTCGATCTATGAAGAGTGGGGGGTGTGTTGCCAGGGATGGGATTTAGTGATTATTCTTACTGTGGCTTTTTGTTGGGTTATTATTGGCTTTAGGTGTGTTGCTGCAGTTGATCCCCAAGCACAAATAGCATAGGTGAGGTGTGGATAAATAAGTGAGTGGTATAGTGTGAGAAGGGCATTTTGCGGCAAGTAGTATCGTATCTTGGCGAGGATCCCAACCGTTTTGGATACTTTTTTGGTTATGTGTTGGATATGGGTGCTGAAATTCAGGTTGTTGTCGAGGTATAGGCCTAGGAATTTGCCCTCATTATGTCTGGCAATTAGAGTGTTGTTGATCTTAATGTTAATTTGCGCAACTCCTGCTCTGCTACCAAACATAATATAGTAGGTTTTGTCAGTGTTAAGCGTAAGTTTATTGGCTGTCGTCCAAGTCGATATTTTGATCAGCTCCTCGTTAACAATGGTGTTGAGGGTGGCAAGATTAGGTTGAGAGATGACATAAGTCGTGTCGTCAGCAAAGAGAATGGGGTTCAGGTGTTGGGATACGTTTCGAAGATCATTGATGTATATGAGGAAGAGCAGGGGACGAAGGACACTTCCCTGCGGAACTCCAGTATCAAGTGGCCGTGTTGTTGATGCTGTGTCTTTAATAGTGACATACAGATACCTATTAGTAAGGTAAGATTTGAAATATGCAAGCGCATGGCCTCTTATACCGTAATGGTCAAGTTTGTGGAGTAGGATGCCGTGGTCTACTGTGTCAAAAGCTTTTCTTAGGTCAATAAAAATTCCTAGTGGATATTCGCACCTGAAACCCATTCTCTTTGCAGACGACCCCTCAAGGAAGGTTCCTTGACGTTGGTGAGGGGCTCTTGATTTAGGGAATTGGATCTGTGCTCCAGTTCCCCGAATTAAGCCTGAATGCCTTCCACATCCCCCCCCCCCAGGCGCTGCATAATCCTCCGGGTTTAGCGCTTCCCCCTTGATTATAATAATAATAATTTGCAGACGACACTACTTATTTATGTCATCTCCCACCCAAATCTTGCCTCACTCAGCACCATTGTTAACGAAGAGCTACTAAAAATATCAACCTGGATGACTGCCAATAAACTTACACGTAACAGTGACAAAACCTATATTATGTTTGGCAACAGAGGAGGTGATGCACAACTGAACACTCCTATTGCTAAACATAATAAGGGCAAATTCCTGGGCCTACACCTCAACAGCAACCTGATATTACACACCCATATCCAACAAAAAAAAAAAAGTATCCAAAACGGTTGGGATCCTCTCAAAGATAAGTTACTACGTGCCACTATCAGCCCTACTCACATTATACTATTCACTCATCTATCCCTACCAACTGGGCATCTACATTGCAAACTGAATTGTTTGCAATCCTAATGGCGCTAAAGCTAACTTTTGACACTGAGCTTGACTATCATCATTACTGATTCTGTCATCATTGAAGGCTCTTGACTCATATAATTACTCCAACAACATGCTCATTGAAGAAGTCAGGTACAGATATTCAAAAATCAGGGACAAAGGGATTAATGTACAATTGCTATGGATCCCATCACACATTGGATTACTCCTTCATGATAAAGTTGGTATGTTAGCCAAGAAGAGTACCCTGAAGAAGAATGTAGAATATAACTTTGGTATATCTGTGTCTACCATTAGGAATAACATTAGGAGAGAAGTAAATAATGAAAATGATTGTTATAGGAATGCAGTTAGAAGCCTGAGTAGATCTGTAACCCACTATGATAACATGAACTTAGGTAAGTATGTTTATGGAGCAACTTGCAATGTGAACAGACTGACTGATGTTGTAGTGGCCAGGCTTAGGCTTGGTTACAAGTACTTCTGGCAGTTTGGGAGACACACAGATGATAATGTAACTAAATGTAAATTGTGATCAGGCATACGGTCACTGTGTTGAACACTATGTGCTTAATTGTCCACTTATTGAGGAATACAGAGACAGACAGTATAATAACCTATGTGACATGTCAAGATATCTTATTAATGAAAATAAGATACCAAATATACTAAGCAAATTTCCTAAATTTGCTTGTAACAGATAAGTGAACTGTAGATATGTAGATATAAACCCACATGTACACCTGTTAACCCTTTTGGGGCCTAGTTCCTAGGCCTTTTGTGTATCCATATGCTCTTGCGCTACCGTCCACAGGATGGATAAAGGGTGCACAATAAACTAGCCACTTCGGTGGCAAAATCTAAAAAAATCCACATATGCCATTTGTGCCTGGAGATCAGCAGCAACCCACCTGAAGCCAATAATAACAACAAAAAGCCGCAGTAAGAATTATCAAGCAATCCAACACTAGGCAACCCCCCCCCCCCCCGCCCCACACACTTCAAAGACCTAAACTTACTCAACTGTACAAAACATCTACACTTACTACTGTGCAACCTACATTTACAGAACCATAAATTCCAGTATTAACCCTGAGCTAAAACACTTCTTGACAGTTGTGACAGGACACAGGCACAATACTAGACGAATCTCTATGACATTCCCCGTGTCCGGCTAAATCTATACAAAAATTCAATATGTATAAAACGGCCTAAAACCTGAAATTCCTTACCTGAAAACTCTAAAATTGCAGACTCAACCACCATTTTCAAAACTACCGTTAAAACAATCTTATCTCCCTAACACACCCCACCGTCAGCTAACTACATGAAAACCACCTATTATTGTCTTACTAGTATCATACACACATCCAAAACTCATTCAATGCTCTCGATATATGATTCCCCCTAATTTACACTTACATTCACCCAAATGACTGTACACATAAAATTCCGAATATGGCTATTGCCTATAAATTTTTAAGCTAGTCATAAGTTTGCTTAATATACTCCACTGAAGGAGCTCTAATATAAACTGTGTATCATGTCAAGACAAAACCATTTTCATTACTAAATTTACAAATTGTAGTTTTCTTAAGTGTTTTGAACTACCTCACAATTGTAAATCTATTTAATCACTACAGTTACCTAACTTTAATAGCAGTATGGTCCATAACCTGTGTCAATATTGCCTGTTTACCTGGAGAGGGTTTCGGGGGTCAACGCCCCCGCAGCTCGGTCTGAGACCAGGCCTCATGGTGGATCAGGGTCTGATCAACCAGGCTGTTACTGCTGGCCGCACGCAAGCTGACGTACGAACCACAGCCCGGTTGGTCAGGTACTGACTTTAGGTGCCTGCCCAGTGCATTCTTGAAGACAGCCAGGGGTCTATTGGTATTTCCCCTTATGTATGCTGGGAGGCAATTGAACAGTCTTGGGCTCCGGACACTTGTGTTCTCTCTCAGTGTACTCGTGGCGCCCCTGGTTTTCATCGGGGAAATGTTACATCTGCCGAGTCTTTTGCAATATAGAGTAAGAATTAGTATTAGTCTGCCCAAAATGCCTAGGCATGCTAGTGACCTTTGTAACTATTTTGTATGTAAACCACACATTGTAATTAATATTGTATAATATGTAAACCCCACATTGTAACTTTTACAGAGAAATAGACATTTCAGTTTCAATTTCAGTCTCTGAACCTATTATGTATCTCTGTAATGTTTTAACTACCGCCCACATGATGAGTATAATAAATATATTAAACTGACACATGTTTATCAAGATCTACTTCCACTAGTAACTCCAAGCTGCTACACTTCACCTTCCTATATAAAAGCTACTGTGCACATGTTTCTCGTCTTCCACCACTGCTGTTGTTTCTAGGATTCTGATTCATCTCTGTATTCGACTGATGAAGCCTGAGACGCAGACGAAATGTTTCGTCACTAAAGATTCTTAGTGTTGCAAATGTATCTTAGATAGACGTCAGCAACCCCAGAGGTGAAGCTCCGGCCACTATTATTATAATAATATGCTGTAGTACATTATTTAATATATCTGCTGGTGAAAAAAGTACATAACAAAGTTGTTTATTCCATGCTAGAGGAGGAATTATAACACAAGAAAAATAAAATAAGATTAATAAAAGTTGTATCCAAATTAGAATTAAAACAAGAAAGAACTGGAGGAGCAAATATTAATGATAAAAAAAATGTCTGAGAAATGACATATAGGTTTCAAGTTGGCTGGTTAATTGAGTTTATCGACTATACGAGGGTTCATTTCACTTGTTTACCGCCAGTCAGGAGTACTTTAACCCCTAATTAGATATTAAAGTAATATCTTAAGTGTATATACAATAAGAAATATACTAATCCTTGGAATTTCAGAATTACTGTAGATTAACAAGTATTTCAAAACTTACAATATACAATTGGAAATAGGATAATTCCTCCTTTTTCTGTATTAGTTAAAAAAAAAAAACACTGACGTTCACACAGATTCACTAATGAACAACGACAAACATCAACATTTACTTAAGAATGAGTGAGCAAATTTTCTTTTTACCAAGAACTACCTAGCTCATGGTAAGAGAAAATTAAGTGGCCATGGCAATTTATCCTTGAATGGGACACCACCTGGATAATATTTATGAATATTGTTAAAGACGTCAATCATCTCCTCAGGAGTGGTAGGGCAAGAAGGATACATAGTTTCACATCTATCCGGAGATCCTGTGTATCCCATGTATGCTGCGTGTGTATATGGATAGAAGGAATACTGGGTCATCATCTGGTCCAATATTCTGGAAGAAAATACAAAGATATTGAAAACTAGTAGAGTATTTTATATATATATATATATATATATATATATATATATATATATATATATATATATATATATATATATATATATATATATTTGTAATTATGTTTATTAAGATTATTTTATCAGCAGTAACAAAAATGTTACTGAAAACAGACATAGATGGAGATTACGGTATAACAGAGTAATAGGCTGAGTGGCATTAGTTCGAGTATCATACATGGAATTTACCACAGGTTTCAGAAAGAAAATAATGGAGGCAGATATACCCTAGTTGTATAAGTTGAAAAAACATTCTTAAGGCTTAATTAAATTTGAATTCACTCTGTATATTCTATATAAATGTAATTCAGGTATTATTACTAAGAGGAACTTACCCGAGAAACCTCTCTGAAGTGAAGCCACCAAGCAAGTCATCAATGACACTACGCTTCTTCCTCTTACCAAGATCACTGAGGAAGCTCAGGAATCCATTTCTCTGAGGTCGTCGTCTTCTAATTGGCCTCCGTCGTCTCAGCACCTGAGGGCCATTTTCTCTTCTGATTACATTTTGATCTTGAGTGTCAGGGTTTTCTCTGAAGTTTGGGAATACGTTTTGGAAGTTGGTTCCTCCTGGGAAGGTCTGAGGAGCCGAGAAACTACCCTGTCCAACCTAGTTAAAAAAATAGTGTGATGAAGTTGCTTAGTAGTTCAGTAACGATGATTTAACTTCGTTGTTAACACGAAAATTCACTTTGCAAAAGTGTTATGACACATCCTTTCATTAAGCAAGGAGAGCTTGTATCTGTTTATTCAAACAAATCATATTTGTATTTATACTGATGCTTTCATTCTGACCAATATGCTTCAACATATGTAATAACCGAAAAATATGTTCTACTTCAGTATTCACTACTACAGTGGTATACTAAATTACAATAAAAAATCCAAAAATGTCATAAAATCATAAACCAAATTGTTAGTAAACTAAATTGTCCAGCAATTAAAATTTATACTGCTCACAATGCTCTTGCATGATCAGGGGCCTTCTATAACGTATGTCAATAATGTCAACTAATCCTATATCAGTTGTTATATCATAACTTATCGTCTACTGATTGATAATACTCTTAGGTTAAAACTTGATATATTCTTTCTAGTCATACTGATTAGGCTTTTTTCTTTTTATCCACTGACGCCTATATAACCGCCGTCGTCTTGCCTTGGCTCCAGATTCTCCACCACCACGATGCTGTGAACAGTAAGTCCAAGGCTGAGGGACTGATTACCTCATCTTTTGTATATAGTTCTACTGTCTTCTAATTATGTTCTAGAATCTGTATTGATAAAGCCACTGGATAGCGAAACGTCTACAATAAAGATATCCAGATGTTGCACATGTGTCTTAACTTTCAGTTTTTAGTTGTATTTTCCTCACAGCTGAAAACAATGACTGTTTTGTTTTCTAAGTTCAGGTTTCATAATTCTGGTCACTTGGTACAGTATTTGTCTCATTGTTGTCTTAGTTCACCATAGACCTGCAAACTTTGTCAGTTTATTTAGTATTTATTTTTCTCTTCAAAGGGGTGCCTTGGTGCTGCTGAAGAGCTCATGGTCCAAGGAATTGTAGCTATTCTCTCCTTGCTTGGATCAAAATTCATTACGACAGGAGCTGTATAATAACTTATGAGTTTGTTGTCTTTCTATAAATTTCATAATTTAAAAATATACTTTTTTTTTTTCAGTCACCATTCTGAGCAAATTATGGTATGCGTAGCACCACAGTTGTTGCTATGTGCACTACTAACACTGTGCTTCCAGTGCACAATACTGGCAACACACCTTCACTCTACAAATCAAAAATTTTTGTTTTCCAGAATGGTTTATGGTTAACTGTGTTTGGGTTTAATTAAAGTCATTCGACTATACGAGGGTCATTAAGGCTGTATGTAACCTGCTCATCACCAGTCAAGAATACTTCACTGCCTAAAATAGGGATAGATGAAGATAAATGATGAATTATATCGTTGTGCAACACTTGGGTACCTTTACTGTGGACTGACTGATGGACTGACCACATCCTCTCCACTGACTGATTACCTCAAACTCCTCCTGATCTTCAGCCATTCTTTTATGTATTAAACTGAGGATACCAGTCTAATATGTATTAGATTGAGGATGCCACTGGTTGGCGAAACGTTTCTACAATAAAGATACCCAGTGTTGCACAAGTGTCTTAATTCACCAGGAATTGAAATATACTCTCAGTGCACTTACACCGACACACACACTCTATGTACATCCTGAATGACTTGTATAAAGGTCAAACAAGAGCTAATAGTTGCTGGAGTCTCGAAGAACCATTAAACAAGAAAAAATTACACGAGTGAATAAGACGATTGAAGACAATACACTAGAAACGGATACTAAATTGTTAATTCCTTACAGCATTCACATATATTGTACAGCAGCTAGAACACTGAGCATGTAATGCCTTAACAAAATGATAAATTGTGTAACAAGTACCTTGAATGAACAAACCATTCTTGTACTCTATGCTTATGAAATTTCTTGCAGGGATTGTGGAAGAGGTATGCGAGTCGATGTGACACCAACAAGTTGAAGGTAAAAGACGCATATATGCTGAGCAAGACATTGAGAAAGCGTTTCACCACAAGAACTAAATGAGACACTTGTGGCTAAACGTTTTCTTAAGTCTTGATCAGTGCATATCTGTCTTTTAGGTACAACTTGAAGGGACTGTAACCAATCATATATTAGGATAAACAGTAAGGAATTTCAGTGCTAGAGTAACTGAATATAAGAGGTCTGCTAGAAATTTAAAGGAGGGTTTAGAAGTTTTTCAAAAATGTTAAGATTCATAACTGCAATATTAGTTTTGATCAAATTGTGTAAGAGTAAAATCCTGGCGTCTACTATAACTGTTTCACAGCCTGGTGCCGATAACTCGTAAAGCAAATTGAAACCTTGGCACTGAGGTCACTGGATTCTTCCCATTCTAAGTTACAGGATCTGATTTTGTGTAAAAATTATTACAATGAGGAAGAGCTAAACCCGTAGGAGTCATATAGCACATGGGGAATGAGAAGCAATCAGGTTCGATCTAAGGAAGAGGAGGATAGGTCCCTTTCTTTGGATCAAGAGCCCCTCACCGGTATCAAGGTACCTCCCTGGAAGGGGTTCGTATATCAAGCTTCAATCGCTGAGCTCTTAATCTGTTGAAAACATTCTCAGTAAAACAGCCAGATGAAATCTTGCTTATACGAAGACTTAGTTGTTTATATTACCTGGCCTGAGGGTGGCTGTTGAAATTGAGGATTGAATTGTGTGGTAGGTGAAAATGGAGGTCTCTGGAATGCTGCAGGATTTTGGAATGCTGCATGATTTTGGAATGCAGGATTTTGGAATGCTGCAGGATTTTGGAATGCTGCAGGATTTTGGAGTGCTGCAGGATTTTGGAGTGCTGCAGGATTCTGGAATGCTGCAGGATTCTGGAATGCTGGATTCTGCGCTGCTGAACCTTGCAATGCAGGATTCTGGAATGCTAGATTCTGAAATGATGGATTCTGCAATACTAAATTCTGCAATGCCTGATTCTGCAGCGCTGGATTCAGCAGTGCTGGATTCTGCGCTACTAGATTTTGAAGTCCTTGTGGATTCCCTTGGGCGAGTCCTTGTTGAAGAGCTTGGCTGAGTGCAGACAGTGAAGGAGATTGTGAACTGAAAATATACAAAAGAAAGGGGTGTTGAATTTCTTCACCAGTTGAAGCTCTATGTTTTTTTTTTTTTTCAACAAGTCGGCCGTCTCCCACCGAGGCAGGGTGACCCAAAAAAGAAAGAAAATCCCCAAAAAGAAAATACTTTCATCATCATTCAACACTTTCACCACACTCACACATTATCACTGCTTTTGCAGAGGTGCTCAGAATACAACAGTTTAGAAGCATATACGTATAAAGATACACAACATATCCCTCCAAACTGCCAATATCCCAAACCCCTCCTTTAAAGTGCAGGCATTGTACTTCCCATTTCCAGGACTCAAGTACGACTATATGAAAATAACCGGTTTCCCTGAATCCCTTCACTAAATATTACCCTGCTCACACTCCAACAGATCGTCAGGTCCCAAGTATCATTCGTCTCCATTCACTCCTATCTAACACGCTCATGCACGCTTGCTGGAAGTCTATGTATCTGCATTATATAATTTGTTCTATAACTTGACTTTATACTATGCGTCTATAAGCCAGTAATTAAAAAAAATCAGCGTTGGCTTGTTAGAGTCAGTTATGCATTTGTCAGCAAGTGAACAAACAGAATGAAGGAAGAAGACGGAAAAAGAGAAGAAAAAAATGTTGGGATTATTGACGGGAAGGTTATATTAACCCAGAATAAGCCAGTGCAGTCATGACGGACCATAAGGTTTAACAGACTACTTTAATGCCGGTGAAAAGCTTTTGATTCAAGGACTTGATTGCCTCCCATTCACCAAGTGCTATGTGACGCCTACGGATTTAGCGTTTCCTAATGATTATACATACACACACACACACATATATATAATATATATATATATATATATATTATATATATATATATATATATATATATATATATATATATATTTTATATATATATAATATATAAAATATATATAATATATGTCGTACCGAATAGATAAAACTGCTTATTTAGCAAGAACTCATTAAAATTAAGTCTTATCTAAAAAAATTCTTATACATTTAAAGATATATTTTTTTCATTTATGTTATTGCAAAAATTAATAATTTTGTACCAAAAGAACCTTAGAAAACTTACCTAATCTTATTATAACAAGTGCAATTTAATTTATCCTAAGCCAAGTAAATATATTTTAAATAAGTTTACAATAATTTAATAATAAACACACACAATGAAAGATACTTTTTTAGTTACGTTCAGAATGATTTTTGCGAAATTACTCCATACACAAATTTTCGCTTGCCTTATTCGCCAAGAAGAGCGTTGCTATTTCAACAAAAATTTCAAGTTTTACCTATTCGGCACGACAAACATTATCTCTCAGCCCATATTAACATTCGAACCTGCACACTTTGTATCACAAGTTGCCAAGGGGATTTATATGACGTTAGAACGGCATTAATGAGTCATGTGTTGAAGCTGGGAACACAAGTGGGGTTGTTGTTCTAGCTGGTTCCTGATGTAATGACTGCCAGAGATTAGGGCTTCGCCTTTGTAACTTTTATTCGATATATTATTTAGATCATTAGTTTTGCAAACATGGGATACATTTAGGTCACAATACATATTATAAAACTGAAATATTAGATCTAAGGCGCTTAGCATCAAATTATTTCTTTAACTAGAGTATAATCCTTCAACATCTATAATTTCCTACACGTTCTAGCCGATTTTAAGCTAGTCTGCGAGGAGGTAAAATTTAGGATCCTGCATAACGTTCAGATGACACTGGCTGCCAGTGTAAGACATGAGCATGGCTGGAGGGCATGCACCCTATGAAATAAACGGTAGGGATAGAAGGATGTCGGCTTTCAGGCTAGCTTGGTGGCGCAAGTGCTTCTCCTTGACCTTCGTCTGCCGAGATTTTGATATACTCGGAGCAGCATGTTCATCACGGCAAGCCACCAAAAGGACCTTACCGTAGGTCCCATCCCAGAGAACTTTGTCCTTAGTACGGACATGCTTGTACAACCATGACTCAGCCTCGAAGAACTTCATTCCTATCAGCGATTAGTCAAGGACGCAACAAATATATCTAATCGTCTACAAGGATTACGTTCCTTGAGCAAAATGCCAAACATGAATTCGCGGATAAAGATCTATTTCCATGAGACAGCGGAGATGCTTTCTAAACTCTTCTTAACTCTGCACTTATTGCACTATATTTTGTCGCTTGAAATACAAATGGGTTATTTAGGTCCAGTAAGCGCATCTCAAGACTCATGGCTATATAATACTATACATGAATCGCAGATCTATGAGCCACGCTGCTGTATAGTCCTTGTGGCTTAGCGCTTCTTTTTTATTATAATAATAATATGAGCCACGCTCGCAAATAACAGCATAATACCAAATGTGAACAGTTGTCAGGGACGTATAACACAAGACATGTCTGGGACCGGAGTCCAGTTTGTACATAAATGGATATAAAACAAAACTCGTAAATTACCGTGTACGCGAATTAAAACTAGCTGATATTAACGCCATATTGTCTGTAAAGGGTACTGATCTGTATGCTGGTGTTATCAGTTAAGTAATTTATATAAATGAGAGAATGAAGGAAGACGAATATGAGTGAAGACGGTTTTTTTCTTTTATTAAGGACACCTGAGGGAAAATATTTACTCCTACTCAGTTCATATAATTCATGTAATAATCCATGAGTTATACTCGCTCAGAAGACATCACATGAGCAGGAAATGTAGTAAAATCTTCTTCTTGTGAAAGGTACAACATACATAAAGAAATTTTACTTACAACTCATTTATGAAATTTAAAGATTTCTTAAAAGTAAGAAATCTGTTTACAAATATTTATCCTGTATAATGCAATATAAACCAGTCAAACTGACTTACAGCACATAAAAGTACTCACAGTAAATACTTACGGTTGTGGAAGGTTCGACTGAGAGGTGGCGAGGGAGCACATGAGTCGCTCCAGACACTGGAAGCGGTCATATGTAGGGATTGTACTACGCAACATGTCATCTACATTCTCTAAAGCTCTGCAGAGAGACAAGGATTTTTTTTTTTTGGTTTGTTAAATACACTGGTTGTTGAAAATCTATAAGAATGATGTATGAATGGAAGGAATACCAGATTTTCTATCATTTGGAAAGAATGTCTAGGAACATAATAATAATAATAATAATAATAATAATAATAATAATAATAATACTTTTTTTCTACTAGTACAAGTACAAGGTATACAGTCCTAACTGACATCAATAACATACTACTATACAGAAAGCCGCTTGTTATGCTGAGCATTTCGGGAAAATTAGGTCAGTTTTGTCCCAGGATGCGACCCACACCAGTCGACTAACACCCAGGTACCCATTTTATACCGATGGGTGAACAAGGGCAACAGGTGTCTTAAGGAAACACGCCCCTATTGTTTTCCAGCTGTACCGGAGATTCGAACTCCGTACCTGAGTGTGAGAGTTGAGTGCGGTAACGATCGAGCTACGGGACTTCAATACATAATTCTGTAGTATAGAAAACTACTTGAAACTGAATGAAAATTTAATACGTAACGATACTGTTAATGTTGAGTGTTAATAAGTGTGATGGAAATGGTTGACAGGAGCCGATGACTGGAAATAAAATGATTTTATTTTTAGTAATTTGTTTCCAATAAATTTGTCAAACTTTAAGAGTGATGTATTTTTTTTAAAAAATCGTGAAGAGGAAGAATTTCATATTAATAAAATGGAGTTAGTTGAAGGAAGTGAGTTAAGTGAGACACTGTATGAAAAAGTTACGTAGAAAGTTAGCGCATTGACCATAATTTGCGAGCTTCTTAATATATATGAAAAACAAGTGTTTAATTACGATACTGACAGGTTGATCAAGACAACACACATGCAACACTTGGGTATCTTTACTGCTGAAACATTCTGCCTGCACAAGCTTCTTCAGTCGAATACAGACTAATGTAACACTGGAGACAGTGGAAGTAGTAATTATGAGGTGGTCAGTCCCTCAGCCTTTATAGCAGGTGACTGACCACCTCCTGCCAAGGCTGACAGACTGATCACCCTCATTATTATTATAATAAAAAAGAAGTGCTAAACCACAAGGGCTATACAGCGCTGCAGGGCAGGAAGGAAGCGAGGGTATCAGGTGGTAAAAGGGAGATGGATGATTATTATTATAATCAAGGGGGAAGCGCTAAACCCAGAGGATTAGACAGCGCCTGGGGGAGATGGATGAGAAATAGGTTACGGAGAACAGCGGGGCAGTGGATGGTGAAAGGGTTGAGGGCAGCAAGAGATTGAGGTAGAAAGGGCTGAGGGGAGTGCGAAAGGTATCATCATCAGAGTTTGTGGAGTAAATCAGTCGTTGTTAAGAAGTCAGTGATAGAGTCAGGATTAAAGGAGGGTCCATCAGCAAGAAGGGAAGGTAAAGAGAGAGTAGTAGAGCGGAGACGACGTTGGAGGTAAATTCTGCGTGCTCGTTGATGGAGAGGGAAGTCTAACAGAATGTGGCTAATCGATACTGGAACTTGACACTGCTCACAGAGGAACAGGGTGCCTCTCCATGAGATACCCATGAGTAAGACGAGTGTGGCCAATGCGAAGGCGGGAGAGAGTAGTCTCCCAACCTCGGCACTGATGACAAGACGGCCAGTTACCTATACTCGGTTTAATAGACAGAAGTTTGTTACCGAGCAGATTAGACCAACGTTGTTGCCAACGGGTGTGAAGGTGGGTAGCTATAACAGCAAAATAGTCCGTAAATGGAACACCCCTATATGAAACTGGTAGGTCATGTACTGCTGACCTCGCAGCAGTGTCTGATCGCCCTCAAAATTACTACTTCCACTATTTCCAGTGTTACAATCCTATCTTTTTGACTGAAGAATCCTGTTGTATAGGATAGACATTTCGACAATAAAGATACCCAAGTGTTACACATGTGTTTTATTCATCAAAACAATTATAGCTCTATATTGTGATATAATTCGTGTATAAAGTGTACCAAGTAATGGAAATGATTGTAGTGTAAGGATGTATTTTGATAACTGGCTGTATCTGATTAATGTCAACGTAAATGTCTGAGCAGGATGATGGAGAATGTTGTTTGGTTTTCTTTACCTTAAGTAAAAGGCCACAGATGCTACTAATGTGACATTTTATTGTGGCAACGTTTCGTTCTCCAGGAGAGCGAAATGTTGCCGCAATAAAATGTCACAGTAGTTGCACTTGTGTCCTTGGACTTAACATATTGTCGGTAATTCTACCAACATTAATACATTTTACAGTGACGTGAAACGGCTCATTCTAGTAAAAAAAAAAATGGAGTAAATTCTAAGTATATAATATAGTATATATATATGTAAAAATATATAGTATATATATATAGTATATATATATAGTATATATATATATATATATATATTTATATATATATATATATATATATAATATAAAAAATATATATATATATATTTATACACACACACACCAAGAGATATGCGGCTCTTGGTAAATATAAATCTGAAAGACCATTTAATGCTCGTATTCTGTTTACTGCACATTCACCATTATCATAATAAAATAAAAAAATATATGGGAAGTGCTAGCATCATGTCGATATAAATTTAAGGATTTTTTAATTAGTCATAGTGATTTACCAATATGACACAACGACTCAAAGAAAACTTACTACCCAACACTCGCTTGTTAGTCACGTTTTCAGAAAGACTCAAAAATCAATGTCTAACATTGGCCCACTAAATCAGCTGACCCATTCCATTTTCGCAGTGCAGACATTCTACCTCCCAGCCTCCATTGCTCAAGTTCCTTCGTAGATACTACCAAGCTGGTAGCAGCAGTACGTGGAGTGAAACAGATCATTCATCTCCACTGGAATCAAACATGTTAACACATTGTCTGCTACATGTTCAGTCTCTTTACCCATCAATACTTTAACTATACTTGTTTCACACCTTTCTTCCAACCCTACCATTCACCTGAGATTCATAAACTATCTCCATATACCCTCTTTCACTATCTTCAGTTTATTACATCATTCCTGTAATGAACTGAACAAAGCACTGGTGGGCAAAACGTCATCATAACAGCTACCAGAGGTTACACCTGTGTCTGGTTCACAAACACTTTTATATTCTACATAACCTCAACCTTTCAAAAATTCTTCTTCCACTCTTTGAACTGGATATTTCATCACCACCGCGTTTCTCTCTCTCTCTCCTCGATGTGCCCAACTTTACTCCTTTCATGACTCAAGAAATCGTAAAACACGATAGCAAACTAATCACAGAACGGTCGGAATCGAACCTACGACAGGCGAGTCCTGCCATGGGTTCGAGACCCACCCGCTTTGTCATCCAATTCCCTCTTCCTTTCTCAAAATCGTCAACCTTTCAAACTTTGGGTTTACCGATTTCTAGGATTTCCACTTTCATTTGTAGCATCTCGAATATGTGTGTGAACACATTAATATAATCAGTCTTTAATATGTACGTATTAAAAAACTTTGATTATTTTAATAATCTTAAAACTGTGTACTTATATCGTTATAGTAAATACACGAGTGTAAATAAGCACATTTACTTTGGCAGTAACCATAGCATAAACATGCTAGAAACTTATCATACGTGATAAAAATAGACCGGTAAGCCAGCGGAAGGCCTCGGTGAGATGACCAAAAGCTCCAGCTGTAGGTCATCATATAATTAAGACCCGCGTCAGAAAACACTATCTGTTTCCTGACAAACCTACCTACCATATGTACCACACACAATTATTACAGGTATATCATACACAGCTATCATACATAGCCATCATACACAGAGAAAAGTTTTCAAACCTTGTAACATTAGTGTATCAGATCCGGAGTCATTAAGATAACATATACGTACAAGATTAAGCGAGAAATAAAGTACTCAAAAACGTAACATAAAACAACTTAATGTGAGAATAAAGAATAGAGAAGAGAGAACAATAATATGGAAGAGGTTATAATTGTTATTATACAGGTCTCTACAAAAACACTCCTTGATTTGAAACAGGTGTAACATGTAACTTTATTGTGACCGGTGACCTCTGTAAGTGGCCTGCGAGGTCACCGGACCTGTTTGTGACTTCTTTCTTTGTGGGTACGTGAAGAGCACAGTTTACATACCACCACTACCAGCAACCCTGGAGGACCTGAAAATTTCGATCACTGAAGCAGTTCACATGATAACACCAGGTATACTACAGAGAGTCTGGACCGACCTGAACTATCACATCCATGTTTGCTGAGCAACCAGAGGGGCGCACATTGACCGCCTTTAATGCTACTCTACACCACATGAAACTGAATGAAATGCTGCATCTGAAGCTACTAACTGTGAAAGATTATTACAATCAAGTTATATGTTGTACATATTTAAAATCAGGGAGTGTTTGTGTGGACAACTTGTATACATATTTTTTGCGGCTATTATAAGAATACAGTTTGTAGATGAAAACTGAATGAAGGATTTGCCAATGAACAATTTGATAATATCTAAATCATAACACAAAAATATACAGTGTTTATTAGTCTTAATTACAAGACAGAAATATATTTATAGAATATATTCACCATAAAAGGAAACATTTTATAAAGGGATATATAACGCTCATATATGAAATATAAATATGAATTTTATCATAGAATAGGCTACTAAAATATAATTATTGAATATTCTTTACATTAACTAGGCATGAAAAAAATGTCAATGTTATTTGTAATGAGCAAGAAAAATTTATTTGATATTGTCTCTTGTAGTTCAAAAATAATAAATTTTTTGAGTTAGTAAATCATTTATATTACAATATGTCCAAAATTATAAAAAAAAATGCTCTACTAAAAGTTAATAAAATCAATGCATAAAGTTTTTAATCTGTTGGTTAAAATGTACATCAGTACAAAAATCAATGAGTAACTCCATTAGCGCCCAAATGAAGAGGAAGCGTCGTCAGCGAGTCTAGTGGAATATTAATATAAAAGCTGACGTGTAGATCTAAGTGTAATTAGAATATCTGGTGAATGAAGGTCTATGTAGCAAGACGTGAGTCTGCATATAATGCTAGCTTTTAGGTGGTTTATTGTTCATGAAAGAGGTTAATGTCTCCAAACAGGAGTCTTGGTCAGACGATGACCCATATTAGAGGTATTAATTGCGGCTTCGCTCTCCAGAAAGTTTATCAGGCTCCTGGAAAGCGAAACTTGGTCATAATAAATGTTTCAGTACTTGGTCATGTGTCCTTTTACATAAAAAAAGTTAATGATTCAATAATTTTACAGTCGATGACCCTTGGTTGGATAGTTACTGGCTTACCCAGCTGGGCTTCCTAGTCCAGGTACATCGGAGAGCATCACTGTAGAGAACCTACAGTTCAAGGTGTTGACTTTCTTAAGGAGATTTCAGACATGGTTGTTCATTGATCACCAGAAAGAAAATATCTGTAATTAATGAGCGTGATGGGTTATTCTTCAAGACGTCAGAGCTTAGTTCTTCATTCCTGCATTAAGTTTTAAACGAAACACATACACGAGGAAGGCACAGCCCACCTGGCACATTTATTGGGCTCCCTGAAATATAAGTGAAGCATTAAATGTCTTATCAGCTGGGTGGAAGAGTGATCTTTAGACCAGCCCTAGAGAAAAACAAATAATTCTCCTTCCCCTTGTACGTGGAACACATGGGAGGAACACATGGGCAAGGTGTCTAAGGGTGTCCACCATATAGCTTAAGTTAAATAACTATCGTTTTATTTTATTTTTTGTATATCTACAAATGTTTACGAGTTTTAGTTTAACATATTTATTATGCACCCCATGCCCATGGTGTGGGTGGAATCACACCATACCCATCCTGTGGGTGGTAGTCAAAAGATTACAGAGGTACATAATGGGTCCAGGAACTGGGCCCCAAAGTTATGATAGCTGAGCAAGGTACAGAGGTAATGAACTCCGGGTAGATCTGGTCACAATCATGACAAAGTTACAAGGTAATGAACTCCTGGTACGATACTATGCTTTCAGTGCAAAATTAATAATTACATGAGGGTACTGAAGCGGTTCTCAGTCTGCCAACCCCTCACGAATTATCCAAGATTTCACTTACGAAATTTTTATATTTCATTTAAGTTTTTCTAAGTATTTTAGCTACAAATATGCTTTTTAAATTATATATATACGTGAACAACTGCAAAAATTCGGAAGCCATTTAGCTGCTAACGTGTTGTTACAATACAACCAGTTATTTATGGTCATTATGTTAATCCCATGAATCACCTGACATAAGCAAAGTTATTAACAATAAGTATGTTACTAATAAAAGAACGACATGCTGCTTGCATAAGTGATTTAATACGATGAGTGTATTGGAAGATTTATACAGCTGCTTCACTCTAGTATACTGGCCGCCTCAGTCGTTAAATGTTAATTAAGTGAGCAAGCAAGGCTTAGTACTGGCAATTATCACGAGTGTGCAAGGTCGTAAGCAACGAAGACTGACATAATTCCATCATTGGCTAGTCTGAAGCCGTCCAGGAGCTGGCGCTTGACCCTGTGATGGAGTAATCGCGACTCCAAGTGATGGAGTGAGTGCGACTCCCAGTTTACTCTCGCACTCTCCCCACCGGACGAGTCACTCTCTGAAGAACCTGCAAATACGTCACAATTAGAGACATACACGCTAGTTACATACCCAAGGATGTTACGCAGTTGTGGACCAAATAATCCACTAACAGTGTCTGCTGCTGCCTCGGCTCCTGACCCTGCTGCTGCAGCTGCTGCTGTTTCTGCTGCTGTCCCTTCTGCAGCTTCTCCAACCACGGGTTCAGAGGTATCATCAACACTGTTGCCTTGGAAGTATTAGATTAACCACCATCTGAACTCTTTGACCTGGTGAAGGGCTCTTGATTCAAGGAACTGGAGGTATTCTCCCCTTCACAGGAATAAGTTTGATTACCTCTCACTCACTGGGCCATGTATGACTCCTGCAGAGTTAGCGCCTCGTCACGATTATAAGAATTGCAATATACTAGGGATGTTGATACAATGAATTTAATGATGCTTACATATATTATACACACCCACATATTTTCTAGTAAGATATACACAGTGTGATATATAATGATACACTATATCAAGGTGTACACAGTGGAATAGTGATACACTGTATCAAGGTATAAACAGTGGGATATATAGTAATAGACTGTATCAAGGTATACAATGTGATATATAGTGATACACTGTATCAAGGTATACACAGTAGGATACATAGTGATACACTGTAGCAAGGTTAGAGAGGATCCATGGGTCTCTAAATAACCATCAGAGTCCAGATACATCAGACTGGCTAATTAGTAACATCTTACAGTTAATGTTAGAGTTTTAAACCACAGCATTGGTGGCGAATATGTGTCTTCGTGGTTTAGAAATACCCGTGAGCAAACACTAGGACATTTATTACAAAACGTTTCGGTCCTGCGACCTTGATCACTTCTAACACACAGAGGCTAATAAGACAGTAATACAGACGGAGAGTGAGGTGTGACACATGAAGGTCACCATGTGTCACAACCCGCTCTCCGCCTATATATACTGTCTTTTTAACCTATGTGTGTTAGAAGTCATCAAGATCGCATATAACAATAGTTATAAATGACCATAAGTTTTAAAGGGGTGGACCGGTAAGCCAGCGGAAGGCCTCGGTCAGATGACCAAAAGCTCCAAAGGCGGGTCATCATCTGACTAAGACCCGCGTCAGGAAACATTTGTTCTGTTTCCTGACGAACCTTACCTAACCTAACCTATCAAGATCGCAGGGCAGAAACGTTTTCTAATAAATATGTCCTAGTGTTTGCTCACGGGTCTTTCTAAAGAAATTTGTCGGTATCTATTACCAAGATTAATATCAGGCTTTTTCATGGAAATTCGCCAAGGTTTGCAAGAACTGTTATTACAGTTACAAAGTAGCTGGACAGTAGGACAGTCTGGCGGTCAAGTCTCAGGGCTCAGTACTAGACCTAAAGTCAGAAGAATCAGGGCAAATATTTGATATCAATGGAACGGAAAACACTGATGGGTGTTCATCAACGCCTCGGGAATTTCATGATAAAAAGTCTGTTGAAAATGTTTATCCTTTGTTGGTTTTGTTTAAAGGAACACCTATTGCATAACTGTAGCCAAAATACATATGTGGCAGATCGAGTTGAGAGTCGAACAATTACACAGACAATAGTTTGTGTGGTTATGATTTATGACGCCGCCTAGTTATTTAGCTTGTGTGGTGAGGACCCTCGTGACTTTACCTAATTATTTAGCTTGTGTGGTGAGGACTAGACAAGCTAAGAGATGACCTTAACCTCTATTTTCTGACCAGTGATTTCGTCGACATACTTTAGCTGTGTATTAGCTTCACCAGTTTTTGGTAAAGTGATTTTTTTTGTACAAGCAGTCTTGTGGAATAGCCATGGGCACAAAACTTGTTGGAATCATACCTAACCTGCTTTGGAGCAATTGAAGGAAGAAAGACTGAGGCAGTACATGCTCAGAAAGGTGACTTGGCTGCGGTATGTGGGTTATATCCTGGTAATCGTGCCCACATGTCTCGACACCACTACACTTCTCAACATCAACTCCCTGGAACCTTCCGTCAAGTTCAACACGGAGGAGGAACACAATAATTGCCTATCTTTCCTTGACGTTTTACTTTGCAGGAATGACCAAAAACTGGATTTCTAAGTCTACAGAAAACATCAATCTTTTCAGAACTTCCTGTACCGCTCAGAATTAATCCGACGGCCTATTTGGTGTTATCGGAAAACTTGCTTGCGTCGCTATTGATTCCCTCATCTATGTAGTGTATGTATATTGTGAGCAACAAGAGGCCCAACACTCACCCCTGTGGAACACCTCCTGTGACGCGCACCCACTCTGATTTCTACCCATTTATGCAAATTCTGTCAACTACGCCTCTATCCAGGAAAAAAAAAAATCCCTACTATTCTCTTTGCCTGTACTTTCCTCAACACTGGTGTGGAATTATCAAAAGCCTTATTGAAGTCCATAGACACTATCATATTCATTACTATAATCAACCTCCTCAAATACCTTAGTGAAAAAGTCAGTACATTCGTAAGGCACCTTTGTAATACCGTGTTGAGATTCGTTGATCAATTTGTCTTTCAAGGTGGCTTTGAATAGCCTCGTCAATG